GGCGTCGCACCATCTTCATCTCTGCGTTGGTAGACCGGGCATACTGTATCAACATCTCCTCTTTGCTTGAGATTTGTATACACAGGGGAAGACTATTATGAGCTGCTCTCCATATAAATTGTTTTACCTTCATCGGACACGGCGCTCACCATATGGAGTTCCAACTGAAACTATTTTCCATCCTGATTTGCTTGTCCTTCTTCACCCGCTCATACTCTTTCCAGTTTCTTGCATACTCCCTCCGTCTGCGAATAAGTGTACATCTAGCTTTTGTCTTAAGTCAAAGTTTTAAAATTTTGACCACCTTTCTAGAAAAAAGTAAAAATATTTATGGCACCAAATTCGTATCACTAGATTCAATTCGAAATGTACTTTCATAATATATCAATTTGATGTCATATGTGTTACTATTATTTTCTATAAAGTTGGTTAAAATTTTAAAACTTTGACTTAGAATGAAAGTTAGATGTACACTTATTAACAGACGGAGGGAGTAGGTTGTATGCAGACGGGTGGTACCACACCCACCCGTCTTCCAAGTCCTCTTTAATTGGGATTGTAAGGATGATATTTGTGCCAGCCAATCAGACAGTTGAAGAACGAAAAGAAGCATACTGATTTCATAGTGAAGACACTTCAACCCCAAGTTTCTGCGGTCTTATTGATTGACTTCTGTAGTTGGGGAAACAAAACAACACATTTATCACAATCCAAGCATGTAAGAGCATCTCCAGCCGTTGGCCCCCAGGCGGCGATTTTACGCGCCCCCTGGGGGCGAGCCGGTGATAAAATCGGCGCGGGGGCGAGCGTGTTCCCAGCCGCTCGCCCCAGGGTCGCCCCAGGCGCGTATTTTTTTATTTTAAAAGATCTGAATTCGGTAAAGTTGGACCAAACTCGGCATAAATTCGGCTAACTTGCATTCATATTCAACATGTTCGGAGTTTACATAAATTATTTTTAAAAAAGACATCTACAGGGCGAAGAAGTCGCTGTGCGCGGCGAAGCCGCCGATGTCGCCGCCGTCCTCGTCGTCGTCGACGGCCTTCTCCTTCTTGATGGCGCGGCCGCCCCTGCTGCTGGACCCCTGCCCGGCGTCTCCAATTCGGACCGGTGGCGGCGGCGCGGCATCGTCGTCGCTATTGACGAGGACGACGACCCCTCCCTCGTCCCGGCCGCGGCGCCGGGCTTCGAAGCACTCCAAGGCCGCCTCGTCGCGCTCCCACTTCAGGGCCGCCTCGTCGTCGAGCTCCTCCTCCTTGACGCCGCCGGCGAGCCCCGGCTCGCGCTTGACGGCGGCAAGCCCCGGCTCCGTCTTCGGTTTGACGAAGCACGGAGGTGCCGAGGAGGAGGCGCGCCGGCCGCCCTCGTTAATGACGATGTCGGCGCTGCGGGTGCGCCGACTGAGCGGCATCTCCCTGGCGGGCTCTGGCTTGACGCCGACG